ACCACTTATCTCGCCGCTCTTCCACGAAATTTCCGGAACGCTTCCACAAACTACGGATTCACGGTTGTACCGAATCCTTCGTGTGTGTGAACCCAAGCTAGCGGCACTGTCACGGTCAAGCTCTCTGTCCTCAGCAGCTACAGCTTGCTACAGCTGTAGTCTGCAGTTCTAGTGTTGGTGTATCAAAACACAGATACTCTGCCGGAGGCGTTCTACCTCGCTGGAAATGGTGAGATCCTGCACTTCGTGTGTAGAGTTGTACCCCTGTTCTATGCATTCGGCTCTGTGGGCAGGCCGTGGAAGGGCCGTCAGTGGTTGTGGTTAACTCGTGAAATCCCTTCTCTCGGTTGTAAACTTGACCGGCAGGTACTCAACTGGGTACAGTAGCCCCCAAACACCAACAAATAACCCTTTCCCTTCTCTACCTTGCGTCCCCCTGCCCGAAACAAGCAGTCGTTTGGGCTTGCAGAGCTCGACAAGATCCAGCCGGGGTTGGCGGCGGAGGCTGTGGCCGCCGGTCGTGAGGTTGAAACACTTCATCTCACGCGGCCCTCCGGCGAGACGATCGCTAAGGTGGACATGACTCCTATCACCAAACTGGTGGGCTACCCGTTCATTGGCATATCCCGGCACGCGTTGCAGAAGGTCCTGCTGGGTCATCTGGAGGATGACGATGTTGAGCTGGGGGCGCGCCTTGAGGGACTCGATACCCATGAGGGGGAGGGGATCACGGAGCTCCGCTTCCGAGGACAAAGCGAGGTCGTGCGTGCTCGAGCAGTGATAGGAGCGGATGGGCGAAGGTATTGACCGACGTACCTTGGATTAGCCTGTGACGTACGGGCTCCTACGTTGTTGTCGTTTGTCGGGAAGGGAGCGGGGGACCTTGCTGCAACACTGTAAATAGGTCAATACCGCCGTCGTTTGGAATACTGCTGAACACCGTCCGTTGGTGCTCGGCTCTACCTCTTGTGGGTATCCTATGCGTACGAACTGAATTCCACGGTTTCTCCTATTGCCGAACCGCACATGACTTGGATTCACAGGGCGAGGGTTAGCGGCGCTGTGCAGGCAGGGAAGAACATGGAAGTTCGGAAATCCATGGTACTGTATGTACCTGATCCGTATCATTGTGCCTTATGATGCAGCCTGCTGAACAACTTAAAATGAGGAAGCACGGTGGCCACCACAGATCGCATCAAATACTCCGAAGGATATTTTCTTGCCCTCATGTTTGGTTTTGATTAATTTAGTTTTAGGGTTTTGAGAAGGACGTATCTTCACAGGGAGTTATATGTTGGTGTGGTCGACCAATCAGGCAGCTACAAGTATCCGTGGTCCCTTCCGTGCCCCCAGTCCAAAACATGCGGTTACGAATCACCCTCAGCATCTTTCGGGCTAGCTTATTGAATGAATTTAGTTGACATTTTGCACCATTACTCTTCTTTAATTCCGCGTCGAACCCAGATCCATAGTGCGAAAGAAGGTCTTGGCGGCCGAAGAAAGGAACTGCGACTGGGCACTGACCTGGTGGGCCTTAGCAGATATCCCCGAACCTACCACACCCAAAGGGGAGTTTCGTATGTCCTATTCAACGAAGCAGGCCATCTACTACGGCGAGGTAAAGTGTGCCTGCTGCAACTGCCGTCGTGTAGTCCATAGTGTGAACGTCATACTGACGAAGGCACACCAAACGCGTCGTGTAATTTATGTTTATTTTTCGGATCACGTTGTCTCAACACCTGCTGGCGGACGCCTCATGGGGTACCCCGAGCAGCAGGGATGGCCAACCACCTGTTTTAGTAAAGTCCCGTTCTTCTGCGTCAACAATGCTAGTTATTCCCAACTCTCCCTCCGATTGATTGAGATATGTTGTGATCAGAACAGAGTCAGAGCGCGAATGGAGCAGCTTACCCTCGCAGATTTGTTTCGGGGGCACTCGGCACTAGATACGGATCTACGGGTTCCGTGTAACATTGGTGATTTGTGTTTCTTTAAGGGTGTTCCCCCCTCTACGTGCATGGGCATCCATGCCCTACTAACTCGTTCATGATACAACGTCTTGAGTCAACCTCCTTCTCTGTGCACCCTCAAAACATCACCACCCGTAGGCGCAGTGTTTTCTATTCTGGTCCTGTTTTCTCGTTTCCTACAAGAGGTGGACTACTCCCGCGGGGATGGTGATGTCCAGCCATTTTTTCGTGTATAGTGACATGCTTGTTGCTCTTCTGCTGCCATCACAGGTAGAGGAAGGGGTGACCATGTGGTCATTCACGTGTTGGAGAGACGGTGAGGTAGAACGCGACCCGGAACTACGGGCAGGGCGGGCGCTGAAAGAGTTGGAAGGGTGGCCGGAAGAGGTGAACAGTTACAATTTGTTTATATACAGGACATCACTGCTGTAGTATGTGGGTAGTGAAGTAGATTCGACTGTAAGATTGCCGTGTGCAATGATTCGTATGCAATGGCACGTAGACGCTGTATGATAAGTGATGATTGGTACAACCTAACATGTGTAGCAACGAGTTAAAAGCAAGAGCTCATAAATGAACTGATAGTTGACCGTAGGAGGTTAAGACTGTAGCGAGACCACTAGGTGATGCGAGCCCAACCAGGCTCACTCCCCAACTATCCCTCTTCCTCTGATCTCTACAAACAGAGCTTGGTTCCGGTTCCACCAGCAGGCATTTGTTGCAAGCCCCTGTGACAGCGATGACTTTACAGTCTCGACGACTACGTACGGCCTTCACTGCTTTCTCGAGGCCCTTCGGTACAGGGCACCTAACATTTCTACACAATTCTCCACGATATTCACGTGTCGTTTTCTGCCGTGAATGGCGATATATTGGTGTCTCCCCACGTTGTTTCCCACGTGGCGTGAATCCTCCATTGTAATACATCAAAGCTACGAGTATCGTCGGCGCAGCCCGTCTGAATGGATCCCTTCGTCATTTTACGGGTTTACTTAGCCGACGTCTGAGTTTTCTGTGTTGACAGACCACGACCCGATGGTGGATGTGAACAAAAAAAAGAAATGCTGCTTGGGGAACCGTAGAAATATTAGTTGGTCACCATACAACACTATGTGAATTTACTGCTAATCTACCACAGGCTCTGATGTGTGGAAAATATGGATTTGTGACATTGTACGAAAAACGAAAAAGACAGGTGCGCGTGAGAAAAAGGGTGTGGCGCTAGAGAAATTCGCCGGCCACCGTTCGTTGTTGTGTTCACAGTATTGACAGTCGTCTAAGGTCACTGTTCAGTCAGTCAATCAATCACATTACGTTCTAACCGTGGCCACAGGCGAAGTACATACTCAAAGAAAGTATATCACTTACAAATACATTTGTACAGATAGGGAAAAATGCGCCAAAAAGGCACAAGAAATATCGAACAAAGGAGAGCATCTATCTGCTGCTGATAATGAATGCTGTATGATTGCTGTGATAGACGCAACTACAACTATATCTGCACCCTTGAGACGCAAGAGTTCAACCACTGTTGCACTCTATATGCAACATATTTTTTGTCGTTGCATCTGGTAGTCTGCGGTCGGCTTTGACTTTTTATTTCGCCGGTCCTTCGCCCAATGGAGCGGGCAAGTATCTCGATCACAACGCCCCTCTCGCGAGCTCGAAACTCCAAAAGCGAGTAGAGTTTACAGCGCTGTGAACGCGCGCAACCAATATTTCAGTCATTGAGTGTACACTGCTGTGGTGCGATAAATCGGTTTTAATCGGCTTGAAACCGTGTTGAAACATTGTTTTCGGCTGCCTTCGCCGACCTGACCATGCTAGTCTTACGATCACGATGCCCCCGTCGCGAGATCGAGACTCCAAGGGCGAGGCGAGTTACAGCACCGTGGAAAAAGCATAAATCTCCTGCATCAGGGAGAATCTACGAACGGAACTGTCGACAGTAAAAAATTGCGCAGCTCGTCGGACAAGGCCTTGTTGGAGAAGGCCAACTCATCAACCACACTACTTTCACTGCGAGCGATGTTGTGGGCCGTCTGTCGTCGTGCTTGAAAAAGTTCAACCGCCACCACCTTAGAGCGTGTGTCGTGAGGTGCTGTCCAACGGGCAACATGTGTATGTGCAAAATTCTCCTTCCCCTCCGCCTGCCACTCTCGTGTTTCTTCCACGTCTTGTTGTTTGAGCTCCCTCTGGCCCACACACAACTTTTTTTTTGCAGCGTTTGCAGAGTCGTCATTAAGCCCACGGGGTATTTTGCGGGGTGCTTGGTCAGCGAAGTTTCTCAGAGTGTGTTCCTCGAAAGTCCAAAAAATGAGAAGACCAATTGGACCTTTTCTGCGGTCCTTGGGGCCAATTCGCGAACGGAAGAGAACAAATTGCTAACCGCTTCTTATGGGAGCAGGGAGTTGCAAGAAAACCTGCAGGTATTTTCGCAACTCTTGGTCGGGAACTTTTGTCGATGGAAAATTTGGTGCACGCTCTTTTTGGGACGAAGAAAGTTTTGTTCATGGGACGGGCGGGATGCGGAGGATTTATTTTTCTTTTTTTGCAATGGCGAGAAGTAGGCACACCCTTTGATACAACACCGCCAAGAAACGGGCCAGGGCGTGCGGGAGAGGGTTGTTGCAACCTTTTTCTTCACACTCACGATACCCCAAAGCATCCAACCTGATACCACAAAGATGCTGGTGAGAGCTTCCTCCCTCGGAGTGGCATCGCTGTTGTTGCTGCCTCCTCATTTCAAAAGTTATCGCTGGAAAACTAAACAACGAGCACACAATCCCCGCGAACCAACCGCTCTCTGACGCGGGTATTTTGTATTTTGGGGTCAGCCAAAACGTTTTTCCCGACGCACACGACACCCCACGGCACCAAACCTTGGACATGAAAGATGGAGCAGAGAGNTAAAAAATTTTAAAATATTACTGAAGTATATACTAAAGTACCCGTAATATCACTAGAGGGCATCCAATAGCAACGGGGTGTGTGTGTTTTGCGCACTTGAATCTGCTTCTGTGGTGGTGATGTCGGGGGCCGTAAGTAGTGGCGTACAACAGTCTCGGCAAAATTCGACCGAGAGCCTGTGTCTTGCTGCTTGTGCTCGCCACCACTGACCCCAATCTCCTAAACTGCGGGTTTACAGCTGTAGCTGATGCCACCAGCTGCTGCTGACAACCCTCCGTTCAGGGGTTTACGGTCCATCGCGGTGAGCACGGCTGGCTGTGACAAATTTTGGATTCCGCTTGGCGCCGGCGCAGATTTCGGACTGCCTTCAGAGGCTGTTGCGACCTCGCGATATTTCAGCTCCAGTAGCTAACCTGCTAGCACCTCCGACGCCACTTCATGGTGTCCCCTACTGAACTTAGTAATAATTACCAAGTTGCCAAGTTCCTCCCAGGCCGGAGGTTGTTTTCTTTCTTTTTTATTGGATTTAAGTATGAGAAAAGAGCCAGCGTCAAAAACACCTGTGGGATAAAGCATGCATCGGGGAAGTTTGGGTTAAGGGATACGGTCTGCGTACTCCCTCCGTGTTCTATTTCTTCATTAACTTGACAAGGCCTCCCCCCGGAGTGGGTCAAAGAGAGCACCGCGGCAGGGGGTGATGCAAGAACTGATACATAACGAATGTACCCTCTTTGCGCTCAGAACGCTCAACCTTTTCGCGTCATTTTCCCTTGCTTGGTCAACATATTTGCCTGATACTTGTGAGGTTGGCTCTACTGGATACTCTTCTTCCACCGCCGCCGCCACAGGATAACTGCCGCGCGTTCTTTCGTTTTTGAACTCCGCCCTTGGCAGCTTTAAACTCTTTACGTTGTCTCTTACCGCCGCCGTTGTGTGGTGGGTGATTGCTGGTTGGGGCGGGTGTCATGCATGCTGTTGAACAGTACAACAAGTAGCGCTGAGCACAAGTGTTAGTAGTACATCGTCTACAGTGTGTGGACAGTAGGGCACGAAATGGGTGCGGTCTTGGGATTCCCTTTTCTACGGTTTCTGTAAGCCGCTTCGTTGTAAGGAACCACGGGCTCCCCGCCGTTGAGGATTGCACCATCCCTGTATAGCCTTGGTTGTACCAACCAAGACTGTTCAGATGAGGAAAACAGGCAAAGGACAACTTGAGAGAGCGACGTAAGCCTTGTTGTTTGCACACCATGGGTGACGCTAATCGGTTGGGCCTGTTCCATCGCTTCATTGCACTGGCGACATCGGCAGGACGTTTGGATAGACTAAAAACGCGACCTACATCTCTCGCTCCGGTTTCTCACCAACTGCTGTGTCTGTGCAACCCACTGCCGCATCCATGGTCACCGTTGATGCTCGCCACCGGGCCAATGACACAGATGCTGCTTCTGCTGCTCGCTACGCGCGGGTGAGGGCTAGGGCGAGCACACATTAGAGCAGTCGGCTTCCGTGGGATGCTGTTGCTGCTCTGAACGAGTCTGGGAGGGGAACAGGCGGGGTTCCGTATGGTCCAGAAATCGGCCGAGTCAGGCGGAGTTTAGTTCGGCCCCGCCGTGGGCGGGAGCGAGTGTTTGAGGCGGCCGGTAGGGTCGCCACGTCGCCACCTTAGCGCATGTTTCTGCAGGCAGTAAACAATTGCTTCGCCGAAGTCGTCCGAAACCCGCACTCCTCCCCCCCCCACCATGTTTTGCCACAAACTTGCGAAAAGTATTTTGTACCTGCGGTCATGCGCGAAACGTTTTGTGTTGCATTGTGCATCCGAACGTTTTACCGCCGCCCAGGTGTGGGCATCCTCGCCGCGAACGATCTGTTGCACACAGGCATCTGGACAGCGTTCTACGCGAGAGGTTACGTCGAGAAAATGCTGCAAACCGCCATCGCGATTGTGCAGTCGTTGGTGAGAGCTTGGCGAGGGCACGAGCAACGAGTACAATTATTGTTGGCGGTTTGGGAAAACTGATGGCGGCATGTCGTGCTGTAGACTGTCCAACCGCGCCCTTTTCACGCCTCGATCATGCTGCATGACTACAGTTTCCTCATGCCCCTCAATATCACACCGCTCGTTTGCTGCGATAACGCTGTTGTGCATGCAGTACGACATGGACTGCAAAGATGCCCCCGTTCAGACGGAAGACTGCCTGAAGCGCAGCCACGAGATTGAGCAAATGGAATTCCAAGTCGAACTCTTCGAAAACCTCCCGGTCATCGTGTACGTGGAAGGTATGCCCACCACTGCGGGGTGTAATTGCGTTGTCTCTTCTGGACTGTTTCACCACTGTCATGCTGTCACTCCCAATTGCCCGCAGCGGGTGGGTGTAGACAACGAAAAGTGAACGTCGTCAGGTAGGTGTTGAACGGCGGGGTGGAGAAAAACCACGAGTGCGGCACGGAAAGAATCCGGCCACAGGTGTAGCTGGACTTACGTGGGGTACTGCTGTAGCACAGATGAAAGGGAAGCACTGGACCGCTGAATCGCAACGGGTTGTGCGCAACTTGATGGGAGAGAGTAGGAGACCTGCTGTTCCCCACCACGGCACGAGATGCCGGGCGGCAGGCATCGCCCGCAAGACCGGCGTAGTAGCTCCGAAATGTGGAGTTGTGGCTATTTTTTTGAAAGAGTCCAACCTAGCCGTAAGATGTGGTATGAATGAATGAACCGAAGCGCAGATGTTTCTTCCCCAGGCATGGCCGGAAGTGAGGAGGTAGCGGCCGAAAGGCATGCAAGGAATGGCACTTGAACTAGAGTGATGTGTTTGTGCAGCCCGATCTGCAACAACTTGCGCCCGGAGCTTCGCAACAGTGCGCCCTCAATCCATCCCGCGCACGTGGGTCCCTTTCTCTCTCGTCCGCGCAACGTCCCACGCAACACAATCGACAATAACACCTTTCGACATCAGCGGTCATCGCCATGATCGCCGGCGCGGTCGGTCTATTCGCTGTCTTCAAATCCAACGCGCTTTCGGCCAAGATTTACCTCTGGACGTGGCTGCCAAGGTTTTTCGTTGGCCTGGTGGCCAGGTACACGATGCGTGCCGAGATGAAGCAGTACGGGATCGACAACAACAATGAGCCGGGAGTCGTGATTAACGAGCTTGTGACTGCGATCTTCCTTCTTTACTACGTGAAGGTGGGACGGTCTCAACGAAGAGCGACGACTCATCGCTGTATCTTTTCCTGGCGAAGCGAAGTGGGGACCGCGTCTATCCATCTGTATTTTTCACGGATGCTTCTGGGAACGCCGATCGATGTTTTTTCTGGGGGTAGCTTGTTGGTCGGTGGATGTCTGCAACTCTACAAGACCACGTCGACGTGGTTGTCCATGAGAAAACCCTCCTCACCGGAAACTCAACGCGTGGGCCGCATGGAACGCGTCTTTGCGGCTCTTCATAATAGCTTCTCGGAAGAGAAGAGTAAAACCCCTTGGCGAGATTCTAAAGTCAATCCTAGTGAGGCCGATACTCGAGGCTAAACGATGTTTCATGGCCTCACCTGGTATAAACATCTGGACAACTTGCGACAGTGTGCGGTTTCATAGAAAGTGACTTTTTCAAATGCCAAGATGTGCACAACCGCTGCGATCACAACCGCTGCGATTGGAAGACTGTAGGAGATATGTGTCAACTCGTTTTTCTTGGCAGGACGAGCGCCCGCACGCAAGAATTTCAGCACCATTTGTGGGCCCTGTCAAGAACCCCTACACTAAAACCTAAGTAACGACCATTTGTAGCATGACCTTGGGAACTAAGAACCCTAGCCTTGGAGCCAACAAGAGCGGTTCTCGAGTGCGGGCGCTAGCTGTCTTTGCTTGGTCAGCCCAGCATGTAGGGTCCCTGTGAGAGGAGCGTCTCTGGAAGCTGTTCCGCACTGTGCGGGGCAACTCCCGCGTGCCGACTTAGTCAGGGTCTGAAGACTTGAACGAGAGCACCTTGACTTGACCGACCAAAAGGCAGCCAGCTACGTGACGCTGTGGACACGTAATATATGTTGCCTCTCACGCGAAAGCCAAGTACCTTTACTGGCGTGCAGTACGGGCCTCTCAAAAGTACGGGAATGCGCAAAGCAAATGGAACCATGCTGGGGTTTTTTTTCCGCACAACTGTAGTCGGAGGAGGGAATGTGAAGGTTTGATTACATCGCAACACCACCCGTGCCGGGAGAGTATCACTTCACTTGTAAAATCCCGGTATTACCGCAACGGCATTCTTACGGGATGCTGGATGAAGGTTGTGCTTGCTCAGTCGTCCGTCCTGGCGCGATCTGCGTATTCCCAAGTTAGTCTAGCATTGTGCAAATGTTTGTCTTGCGGCAAGATGCCCCTGTTGTTTTCCCCTTTGCAGGTTTGCACGGTTTGTGGTGAAGTTGCTTGGCTGTGATCTGACCGTGGTATGTTTGTCGACCTGGAGACAAAGGCCCGTTTCGCAAGCGCTTTGCCATGCGTTGTACATGATCACTACGATCAACCTTGGGGTAGATCTGTCGCGCTTCGCGTAGTGGTTTCGGCGATGTACGAAAGGAGTGGCCTGCGACAATTTGCGCTGTAGATGAATGATGTGCGTGACGAGCAATCCTGCTCGTCCCATTAGTGCACCCCAGTCCATTCTGCGGACCCGTTTTCCATGCCGACGCTGGTTGACGAATCGTGCGGAGGGATACATTTCGTGTCTTCCTCTTGCCCAAGCCTATTGTACTGTCCTCTTTTCGTTGGCTCACAGGTGACGTGGTCGTTCCACCAGAGGCTCAAGGCACGCTCTGGAATCTCCTCCTCGACATCTGGGGATGTGGAGGGCATCCGACTTGTCTAACTTATTGGCATGTTGCCACAGAGGTCGCCGTTTCGGTGGCGGCTCAAAAACAACGGTACAGTAGTCCAAGAGCGTCCACCACTTTTTTGTTGGGTGCCACACCAGCCAGCACTGCCCATACACGTGCCACGTCGATCCCGCCTTCTGCGCTCCAAGGAACACATTTAATAGCCTACGTATTTTTAGCTCTTCGATGGTTGCTTTGAAAATGAGGTCAGTGTCTTTTGTCGTTGATGTCAGTTGTTGGTCGGTCTACGAGTCTTGGTGTCGCTCGGTGTCAACGTAGTTTACTGCTAAGTGTATTCTGGCGCCGGTCTACACACCCTCGTTGTAGTAGTTGTTTGGCGGATCAGCTGGGGTCGCACAGGAGTAGGAAGGTCGTACTCGAGCCTTGTTTTTTCTGGTTCCTTTTTTTGTCGTCCTACCTTTCCTCCTGCGGTGCCTGCCTTAGTTTTCAGGGCGAGAAGGGTCCAGCCGTCCCTTTCTCTCGCTGACAGCGAAGTCGGAGTGTGCATCGTCACGAAATTTACTCGTGTTCGACCGCCAATATTGTTATTTACTTTTCATCGATACTGTTGAGGAGAATGGAACCCACACCCTCTATTAGTAGCTACTACTTTGCTTGCGGTGTAGCCAACGTCAAGGAGATCGCGGATGCGGGAGAAGCACTAGACAGTATGTGTCCGGGTTACCACCGGTAAGACTATTGGTTTGAGATGATATTCTCGCACATACGAGGACTCGCGGTGTGCTTCCGGGTGTGAAAAGACTGCTCTTTTTGTGTTAGGTTAGTGACACAAGGCGGGCCTCCATTCATTGGTTCAAATTTACGTAGCGCAACGTAAGCCTTATTCGTGTACACTGGACACAGCTGATATGGTCACGCACAGTTTCCACCCTGTGGTGCCATGAAAAAGCCCATGCGTCTGTAGCGAGCTTCCTTGCGGTGCTTCCGTATACTGGTACGGTAGTATCTGGTGGGAAATGGAACCTTCCTTCGGCTAAATCGGGAGTGAGTCGGGATCCTCCCTTCCATGGTGGTGGATAGAGCCAAACCCGCTAGACTCAGGCACGAAGGGTTAGCGTCTACCTGCACAACAGAGGTTGCGGAAGCGGGTTCGAAGCCCAGCTGGGATATCATCAGGGCGGACTATGTAAATACACACACAGAGTCGATACCCATAGTATTGATTCCTTCCGGACTGTGTGCCTCCCTCCCGATGTTTGATTGATGTGATTGATTGAGTTGATTGAACGAGTGATGTATCTCAACAGCATCGCTCGTGCGCCTGCTCATCGTTATCCCTTCACAGAAGAAACGACTGCTGGTCTGAAAAAGGCGAAATGATGCGAGTAGAACGTTACCGCCGACATCTGGAGTATAGCCCCAACAACAATGATGACTTCGAGCCTCTTCTCACCGGCGAGGTCCTCGTTGTACGTTCGGTGAGTGGCCTATGGTGTTGTGAAATGCTCCATGTAAATACAGCAGAACGTGAATATTTTATCAGACAAGGTTCCCCCAAGAAAATACGCCTCCACCGCAACATAGACCCAATCATATACGTTTCCGCCATCCCAGGTACGCTTGTTGACGGCACTGGGCTACACACCGCCTGAGTTCAATTCAATTTGTATTACGAGAGCTACAGTATGTAGTCTACATACACACGGCACGAACGTCTTCTCTTTCATTCACTGCCGTTGCACGAACATGAATAGACCATCACTTATCAACCAGCAGGGGTGTCAGCATATCAGCATGATATCCGTTCACTCTTCGCAACATACGACTCCTGTAACGCGCTCTTTCCTAAGGCTCATGTAGTCCCAGGAACATCGAGATAGTACGGATCACAGGGAGTGGATTGCAGCAGGTCGATCAAGTGCTTCGTCTCTCATATTCAATGCCGTACCACTGCTCACCCTAGCCCTAATTCACAATCCTTCCGGGCACTTCCATCAGAGGATGGCTTTTCAAACAACAACAACTCGTGTGTCCTAGTCCTTTTCAGTCCCCTCGCAAACGCCGGTTGCGTACATCTACTCCGGGGGCGCTGTCATCCGCAATCTCCTGCATGCGGTTGTCGAGTTTTTCGTGCTGCCAGGTCGTTGCAGTCTCGACATCCTTGAGGAACGTGGTGCGTAGGTGAGTGTCCCACACCACTCGACAACAGCCACAAATGTAGCAAAGCAATGCATTGCACGCGGGATGGATGGCATCCTTCAGAGGCGTTGTGTCTCTGTACCGGAACATGATTCATATCTGGTATGAATTCCAAGCATACGTCCAAGTACAACAGCAGTAGCCCCCCATTGCAATCGTACGCCTTACGGACGTATTTCACCCCATCTTCCCCTCTACCCGACTTGTTGCAGCTTCTGCTCGCTGCCACGTTTGCTTGGCTGAATGTGCAGCTGTAGACTATCTGTTTACTATTTCTGGGGGCCTAACTCGAGGGTTCGCTTGGCCATGCAACCTGAGGTCTTGGCTTGGCGAGTGAAGTGACGCTTGTCGACAGTTTCGGCGATCACCAAGCACCTCTGATGATGGTGAGCTGACGGAATTACATAGTGACCAATCATTGGTCGATGCACACGATTTGTTGGTGGAGTGTCTCGCGCTGGTTTAAGGGAAGATGTACAACATGCCTCCCGACCCGCCGATTGTAGGCCCTACATTTTGCACTTTATCAAGCGAGCCTGAGTCTCGGGTTACGGTCGCCGTTGTGAAAGGGGAGTGACACAGAACTAACCTTGTAGCGTGTCTGTGCTTGATTTCCGCCCCCCGACTACTTTCAGAAGGCATGGGGGAGGGTGATGACGACGGCAACGAGATCAAAACGCCGACAAGTGGTGGTGCGATCGAGGTCGGCTGATCATGTTGCGAGCTCGCCACAAAACACCGGAGAGATGGTTATCGTAGGCGATTGCCATTTCTACGGCAACGCGAAACAAACGCTGTTTGGAACTGTTCGCGCTGGTCCTCAAAACGGCGTACCACGACCGAGGCGAGGAGGTGTGGTAAGCAGGTTGTCGCTCAAGCTGTGGCTACATTCGTCCAGATCAAAGACGAGGTACTATTCCGCCTTGATAGTAGAGAAACAAACCTGTGTACTGCTGTATTTCGCATCAGAACCTGTTTCAGGGAGAAGAGTGGAAGTTTTAGAAAGATCATCCGTCATAGTCCCGCTCCTGTTTCATTATCAGCGCGAAGCCGATCTGGCAGGATGAACAACAAGGCGAACGAAAGCACAACATGAATGGCACCGAAGAAAGGAGCAGCGGATCTGTGCGCTCTCTTTCATCCCTAAATCCGCCGTACTAGGCGCAGATTTTGCAATGAATCTACTTGGGCTTTCACTCGCTTTCGAGAACATATTAGATCCGCAGAATCCTCCTACAACGGCGCCAAGTGTTAAATATATGACTGCAGTGATCTCAAGCGGCGTGGTCCAATACCCGCGTCTTGATTTTATCACATCATAGCCAGTCGACAACGCACAAAACTCTGCTCATATTTATTCCCATGAACTTATCTCGCCTAGTTCAAGTGGGACTCATCATTGACCTCGAACCCGAGATTCGGCCATCTGGGCGATCACACCACAATTAGCTAGGTAAGATCCCAAGGTCTGACGTTGATAGCCCCTCGACCTCCGTGCGACCTCGCTTCCCCCATTCAAAATGTCACCGTGTATCAGCCCTCTACCCGATTAACCCTCGCGAGCATTGTCGTCCTGTCAGAGAAGCGTAGGAGACAATCCTTCGCAAGTACTTGCTCAGCAGCTGTGATTGCGCTTGCAATTATTTCCCCCCGTCTAACCTCCCCAGTTGACTACATGCAGAACCACGCACATCTCCACCCCGGATTACCCTCGCGAACATTGTCGTCCAGTCAGAGTAGCGTAGGAGACAATCCTTCGCAAGTACTTGCTTAGCAGCTGTGATGGCACCCCTCGTCTGACTTCCCCAGTTGACCTCCTGCAGAACCACACACATCTCCACCCACCTCCCACCCGTTTCTGAGTTGTTGCGATTCGTTCGTTGTGCGGTGCGATGCCACGCCAACGGGCCAGTGTCACAAGCGGCGGTTGTCGCCAAGGCCTACGTGTCATCGCCAACGTGTTGATCGCCGCAACTCACGTACCCCACGCAGTCGCATAGCCTGCAGGCCTTGTCGCAGTGGTAAAGGTGATGCACGAGGCTGCTTAACCTGGTGCAAATGGCTTCCTGTCGGGTGAGAGTCGAGAATGCAAAATGTAAACGCGGCTTGAGCACAACATGACCGTTGAGTTGCATGTACATAGATGCACAAGATGCATCTCGAGGATCGGATCAGAGCAAACACAAGGAAGGCCGTGCGAAGCAATTATCCCTATGAAACTTCTGTTCCCTTCATCGGGAACGCTGCGACGTACCGCGACGGGGCAAACCGTTGCTTCGCATGTCTTCATATGGCGCCACGTCCACCTCAGGGCTGGGCAATGCTTAGTAACTTGACACGTTTCGCCGTCTCCGTCCGCACGGCACGTGTGCAAGTGATACAGGAGGATGAGGAACTTTCTCTGGTCGCCCTCAACCGAGATATTTTTCCCTACAATGTTGGCATTCAACGCCGTTTGGTCAGCGGCGGCACGGCCCCCCTGCGGCCCAGGTTCAGTTTCTTCGCCCCCCATGCACTCGTCCCAAATTGTGCAAGGGCTCTCGTCGTGTTCGGTGCCTGTCGCGTTAGTAGCCGATCCACCACGAGTCGCTGCTCAATCGTTGCCATCGTTGGCTCCGCCCCGTCCCCGCCATCGCCAAGATCATTGCGGCCGGTCCTGCTTTCACCAGCGCCATCATCCATGTCACCACCCCAGCGCGCAGTGTCAAACACATAGCCGTAACGGTGTTTCCCCATGAACCTTGCGTTTCTGTCCCGGCGCTCGACACGCCACACGGGGGATTTGTTCTTGTTTTGGCGCTTTCTCGCACTATCGCCCGTTTCGGCCACAGGCTGGCCATCGCGGGCCTTACACTTGAGGTCGCGGAGGCGAGAGCTGAACCGGGTTCCCTTGCGCTTTGGCGACCCGTCGTTATTCTTGATCCCAATCCTGAAGGTGTTGCTTGCGTCCCTGGCTACCGGATCTCCCATCACCTGGAAAGCGGCTCCGGGTCCTCGGAGTCCTATTGCCGGAGGGCGGCGCTGCTGCCAGGTGTCCGAGTCTATCGAGATCGCAGCCATGGCCTCCATCAGCTTGGTTGTCTCGTCGTCCTGCGAAGATCCTTGCAGTAGGACCGACATGCTGCCCAGGCGCGACGTGAGATCGTCCATGTTTGCGTCAAACGATGAGCCACCTGTTGGACTCGGGCCTTCCGTTACTGGCGGTAGTATCGGAGCGCGGAACGAAGCAAACACGAAGAAATGCGTTGTTCGTGGGTCTGCGAACACTGATGTTGGACACATGTGCTGGATGGTTTGGGGTCACGCAAACAGGAAAGATTTCCGTTTGGTAGGGGGCACCACAATGATTTACGGGGCCCCTCCTTGCTGTAGGAGCCGCTCTTTGGGCACTCCCTCTTTCGTCCGTGTGAAGGACGGTCGTNTTACCTCCCACTGAGTGGCCTTGCTATTGCTGTTGCTTCCTCCTTCGGAGAGGTATCGATGGAAAACTAACCCTGTGGTGGCGGTCAAACACCGAACTTGAACTAAATAATCGCTGGCGGCCGGTGACGGCCGGGCGTCAGCACAACCGATTTTCCGGCGCATTCGGCACCTCACGGCGCGAAACCTTGGCATTGCCCAACCGCCCGTGGTATCACCCCCTTCTAGATACCATTCATGAGGCAACTCGTCAAGTAGTCGTCGAGACATCGGTGATCACGGTTTTCCCAATCGAAGCAGGAGAGGGGGCCTAAGTGTGTGGTTAGGGTAGCAGCTTGACGTGGATTGGCGGAAGTCCCGCCGCGTAACTATTGTTGGACACCTTCGTCGCGAAAAAAGCTGCGTTTTTCTCCTGATTGCAGCTTTTTTTGCCCCGGAGAAAAAGTTTCAACTTTTTTTTGGGCAGCTTTTTGCTCCCATAATAACCGCACTGGAGGAAAGTCACAAAAAACTTTGGGAATTTTTAGTTTTTTCGCAACACGCTGCTCCCATAGAAACCGGTGTAAAGATCCATCGGCCTTCGGCGCTCGTACTAATACAAAAAAAAACGAAATAAAATCGAATGTCAATACTCGCAATTTCCGTAGTCGATTAGTTGATGGAACTGTAAATACAACCTTGCAAAAACCTTCTGCACTTTGATGGAATGCGTTACCTCACATTCAATCGGAATATGTAGAAAACAGGCGACGTAAATTTGTCAGGCTAATAAAGGCGTGGATGCGGGGACCGCTTGGTGGGTCGCAGACCAGAACGAAAGAACGACAGTTGCTGGTCCACGTGCTTCAAAAAATAAACTCTCCTTACCATTACAAAGCGGTCGAAGAGTTCCTCCGTTGGTCTTGCATAACGTCGTTAGGTCGGTACTTTTCTCTCTCTCTGACGTTGTTAGCCGGGTGGGTGGGTGGGTATGTAAGAAATGAAAGTTGTACTCCGGAGCATATATTTTCGCTGAGAGGGAAGAAAAGGTCAAACCGCTGATTGACAATCTTTTTTGCTGGTGATGGTGACAAAGCTACGAAAGATCGCAGTTTGTACTGCTGCTACAGTGCTGCGGCTGTCGTAGCGGGCCGCTCGGTATTAACTTCATTCTCTGTGCTTGGTCTAGATTGTATGAAGACTGTTCGCACGGCGCGTAGTCTGATTTGAGTGTGCCGTCATGAAAAACGGTCGACCCCACTTTGCAGTAAGAAATTGAGGGGTGAGTTAAAAAAAATACCGACTGTAGAGATAGTCGGTTGCTGTGCCTCCTCAGCTCCTCTGTCCTCCCTTTGTGCCGCGCGCACGCCCGGGTCGTTCTTTAGAGACCTTGAGGCTAGTGCATTTTCAGTCGGTAGAGGACGCGCTTCTCCCCGAAGTTTCTTGTAAGCTTGTCCAAAATTTAGTCCGGTGTACCTGCAGTATTGTGTGTTCTGTCTTTCTTGTGTAGGTTAAATACTCCTAAAGGATACTTGTGAAATCGGAATACGAGTAAATAACGCATCGGGTTAGCCTACAGTAAGTGGTATAAGCGCTAATTAGCCAACGCATGCACTCTATTGGTGTGACGTGCCAGTGTACGTTGCCTTTTGCTTCCCGTCAGCTACACCCGCCAGCACCCGCCAGAAAATACCTGCAGGCTACCCTTGAATACAGCAACCGTTCAACCGTTTACCTCACATTTTCAGTTTTATCCGCATTGTTTAAATCTTAACAAGTCGCATGCATGGTCTCCTCGGCACCACAAAATACCCCACTCTGCCTGTAGCCTCACACCATCTCACTTTACACACCAATCCCAAACCACCTTCAGCCTTAACACAGCATGAATGCGCTCTCCCGCAGCTTCCACGCTAGGCGTAAGTTCACCGGATCAGACAGTCGTAGTGGAGGCCCATTTTCCAACTTTTCCACTCATCCATCCTCCGGTATCGTGCCCTTGGTATGCTGTGCACATTCTTTACACTTCACCCTTCCTTCAGCCGATTCCTTAGGATGAGGGCGCCCATGGTGCGCCCCAAGTCTGGAGACCTTGCATTTCCTGGTTTTCTTGATGTAGACGATCACACCGAATGAATCCATCTGAATCCATAGATTAGATTCGATATGTTCAAAACATTTCCGAGAAGATAACAAAAAATGAGCGAAAGAGACAGCAAATGGGGAACCGGTGGAGAGAAGAGAAACAGCGCGCATGTTCGCACATGGTCGCACACTTCTGCCGTATGCAGCATGGTGGCGCGTCGGAGCACCGCCTGCGCTCTTGGTCTATCAAGACTTACTGGCATACACAATTTTCTTTTCAGTTCTAAAACACCACTGAAATGAACATGATGTGGATGGTTGCCGCCAAGCGGACGTTTGAGGCTCGATTATTCCCGACATTGTTCGAGAGGCCCAAAAAAGCCAGGAAGTCAGGGAGGTAGAAGGCGAACCGGTAAAGAAGATCAAAACAGCGAGGATGTTCGCACACTTCTGGCGCATGCAACTTCATTGCTCGTCGTCGTGTCATGGCTTATCGGCACTACATGATGTCGATGGTTGCCGCCAAGCGGACGCTGAGGTTCGATTTTTCCCGACATTGTTCGAGAGGCCCAAAAAAGCCATGAAGACAGGAAGATAGAAGGCGAACCGGTAAAGAAGATCGAAACAGCGCGCATGGTCGCACACTTCTGGTACATGCAACTTGATTGCTCGTCGTCGTGTCATGGCTTATCGGCACTATGTCACGTTGGTCACTCACTCGGCGCCCTTAGACTTTCATTTACTCAACCACAACACTGAAATGAATATGATGCTGGTTGCTGCTATACGGAACCCGGCGGAAACGGCGATGTGTGTCGAGATATTTGCAGATTTTTCAGGTTCGCTTTTTCCCAAAGTGCTCGAGACTCCGAAAAGAACCGCGAAATCAGGAAGGCGGCGAATTCGTGAAGAGGAGCGAAACAGCGCGCATGGTCGCGCACCTCTGGCGCATCCAGAGTGGTAGCACATCGGCGCACAGTATATTCTTTCGTCGTATCACGAAGCGTTGGCACTACATGTAGGTCGTCTTGGTAAACTCACGCGCACACACACTCTCTCATGCACTAAGCAAACCCACCACCTGAAATGAACATTTTTCCGTTGGTTGCTGCCAAGCGGACCTTGAGATTCGACTTTTTCCCGACATTGTGAGAATGTTCGAGAAGAAAAAGAGCAATGATACAACACCTTTAATATTCATTGCTACGTCTATCCCGGACTCTGTTTCGGTGGAAGAGGTTATATTTTTGAGTCATTGTACGGAAACTGGACAAGATAGAAAAGAAGACGGCGAACCGGTGAACGGAAAAAATCGCACGGCCGCACATGGTCGCACACTTGTGGTGTATGCTACCACGACCTCTGGTGCCACTCGGCGAGGGCCAATGACTCGCGATACCCTTCAGAGGCATACAATACTCGAGATGAGATATCGCGAGACGTACGCCGTAGTTCGAGGTCGGTCTGTCTGTTGTGTCCTTTCAAGCGGGCCCTGAGATTTTCGATTTTTTCCGAAGTTGTTCGAGAAGACAAAAAAGATGAAGATAGGAACACGGCGAACCGGTGAAGGCGAGAGAGGAACAGCGCGCATGGTCACCCATGGCCGCCCACTTGTGGCGCATGCTACTGCGCGCGGAAGTCGATGGACCTTGGCGAGGGGCCATAGTTTGCGATGCCCTGCCGAGGCATCGTCGAGATGTCGCGAGACGTGCGCCATAGGTCGAGATCGGCTTTGATTTCACGGTCGGTCAAGGGTGGGGATGTCGGAATGACAGGGGAACACTTCGACCAAAATGAATTTCCGTCGGAGAGACTGAAGGATACAGCTTTAGAATAAGGTGCTACATTGCTACTCTGTGTTTGATTCATGAGGCTGTAACCGACTGTCGTCTTGCTTTACAGGTGCGAAATGTCGTCCGAAACACGCCCCCGAACAAGATCATCGAGGTTTACGTCGGAGACAGCCCCTTGCAATGGACGACGTGGAGCAAGCAACCTGGGGTTAGCTTGATGGGCGATGCTGCCCACTCAATGCTTCCGACTTTAGGTAGGTCAAGGAAAGGTCCAAGGAAACACCTCGTCCTTTTTGGTGTTATACATCTTATGGGCCAACAAGGGCGTGGTAACTCGGGATTTCCCAGCCTGTCGGTTATTATGGTAATGCATATCCGTACATCGGTTCAGCGGTCGTTTTTTCAGGTTGACGCGAAGGTTCTCTGGGCGGAAACAGTCTTCAGGCGATTGCCCATCCATATCCTGTGGAGTAGGTGGTGAACGAACGATTCATGTGTCCCAGCAATGAATGTGTAAGGTCTTGTGTACAATACTGATTCGTTGTTGCATTCTCCTGGACGCTCCGGTATGTTGCTGACTGATGCCATATTTGCTCCACCCATTCCTCTCGTGTCCGTGTGAACAAAACGCTCCGTCCTCTCGAGGACGAGGGTTCAATGATCCAACTACTAAGTCATGCAAAACACGAGTACCCCCCCCCCCCCCCCCCCCCCCCCCCCCCCCCCCCCCCCCCCCCCCCCCCCCCCCCCCCCCCCCCCCCCCCCCCCCCCCCCCCCCC